ACCTCATTCACAATCACGCAGTGTCACGCCTAGCCGCAGGCGCTCTCCGAGTAAGGCTTTGTGCATTTTGGAGAGATTTTCGATGTTGACCTGAGGTCGCGAAAATGCGTCTTTCCCACGCTTCTTTTGTCGATGACAGGACTTTTTTTCAGAGGATACCACGATTTTTGTGTTACGAAATCGTGGAATCCTGCTTTGCTCGATTTTCCAAAGTGGTATTAGGATAGCGAATCCAAACATATTTAATGCGAGGCACCGTTGGCACTTACAACTAACACTCGCTAGAATTTTCATTCTAATAAAAAGCTCAGGAGAACGTACTGGCTTAGTGATCTTCAAATTTATCACACGAAGTGTAGTTACATGTAATTTTTCTGAAATGATTCTACATTATGTTAATGCTTAAGTTGAGAAAACGTTCAGCCCGCTAAAAACGAAACATGTCCGTTAGGTAGCAAGAGATGGCTTTCCGGTTGGGCCGTCATAGTTCGTAAAATGTCAAAATGTGACGAACCAGATGTTAAAAGTACTCATTCGTTCAAAATGATCGCCTGGTTTAACTAGATAAATCTAGTTTTGAGCATTCGGTTCTCAAGGGTGCGCGTGTGTGTCCACATTGGCCAGTTTTTCTCTCAATAATTAAAAAAATTAGTGACGCATTTCGCGTCGCGGGGCAAGAAGCAATGAACCGAGCAGGAACTCTGGGAACGTGGATGGAAAAGGAAATAAAAAATTCTTCAGAAGAACATTTCCCCAACTCTGGGGAGAAAACTTCCGACGAAGTGCTGATTCACCTCTTCATGAGATTCCACATCACTGAAAGACACGCATCTGGAAACGATTTCTTCCATTAACCAACCATAGAGCCCTCTTCGGTAGCTGTGACTGCTAGATGTAACAAAAGGCTTTAAATTTAGCCAACCTTCTATTATCAACATTTGTAAGGATCACTAGGAAGCAGTATCCCGGCCTGGCCGGAATCATTGAACGCTGAGTCCTCACTAACAAGTCAATGAATACTTAACTGACGTCCCATCGAAACTGCCGTAATGCATGCATATCGTGGATTATATGTGGAGTTTTGTTGAGGTGGCAGTAACCGCGAGGCAACAGTACAAACGGCCAATGTATTGACATATTCAAACCTAGGACAATTCGAATGGACCCATTTCAGGAGTCCCCAAATGATTTGGTTCTAGAATCATGGAGACACTGAATTTGAGTTTCAGCTCTGCATGGTGGAGGAGACGACGTGATCAAAATTGAGCGTATTAAGGTTCGTGTTTATGTTAACTGACTTCGAATGGATGGTGATGAGTTTCGTTGACTGGCACCGACGCTCAGAGATTGAGGTGGGTCGCCGAAGGTCAGCTTTATTGACGTGACCTCTCTGCGTGCGCCAGTTGTTTACTACGCGAATTCGAAATGGTGACTTTCATTTTTTTTTGTAATGTAGAAAGAGCCAAGGATGCAGTTAGAATGCATTAAAAGACTATTTTTATAGCAATCTTGTGCGGTCTTAGATAAGGAAAAAAGTCACACAAATTTCAAAACCATTTCAGTTTTCGACGATTATCTTAAAAACACCCTGACGACGTGATAGTCACTAAATTACCCTTAGTAATTTTTTTCCTAAATTATGAAATTCTGGTTTTGTTTCATCATTTGGTTACTATGATTAGCTCCCCACTTTGCTTGGTAAGATGTGTTCCTTTACAAGTATTTTCTTTAATTACGAAAACCGAAGAGGAAAATTTTGAGACCACACAGCTTGCTGAGTTGACGTAAATCAAACTTGGCTTTTGCCATCATTACCAATCACATTCGCGTCTCTTGGGGAAGCTAACACAAGGATAATTGCAAATTTATGGGTTTTCATCTTCACGCTGGGTCTTAACTCGTGTCGTCGATTCAAACAACAAATTCCCCCAGAATGCCAGCCAGCCAATGATCACTTTGTAATCTTCAGGCCCCAGTCGTACTTGGAATTTCTTCGTGCACTGCCTTGGAAGCATGAGTAATTCCTCATTTAAAGAATGAACAGAGGCAACTTTGCCATATTCAGTCACATTAACTCGGTAACTGTACTGTGCCATTGCTTATTTATTCAACCCTGCAGACATTGGATTCCCAGAATTCACATTTTACGGGGATTAAGTTTTAATTGCTGTCATTTTAATGCGTGCAGAGAGAAATAAGACAGTTTTGTTAACGAGTTTTAGAACGGATGTTCACCATCTCTTGATTTCCCCTGAGGGAAGCCAAACCCAAACCTACAGGTAATCAAGTCTCACCATAAATTATTGATCTTTGGGGAGTTTTCAGGCCTTGATGGGTGAGCAAGTTGCCTTCTATGGAGCTCCCCTTGGCAGAAAATAAATGGAAAGCTTTGGGCTGGAGAGACTCAGAGAGGGGTTCAGATGACGTGGCGGTCGAGACTAAATGGCCTTGAGGCTGCAAAAGTAGTCATTAATTACCAGGTGCCTGGTTGAATCGACATGTACAGTTGACCTTAGAATGCTGATGTCGAAATGACATCCTTCTTCATTTTATGTCAAACAAGCATCTCTGATGTGGAAGTGCATACAAAAAGAAAAAATAAACTGGAATGGCTGTTTTGTTGGACAGGAAAAAAGACAAAGTCTTAATTAGAGAGTGTGGACTAATTACTGAGGACGATACTGAAATGATTCTTAACCACCGGACATAGCTTTTCGCCTTCCTACATGCTTGCAGGTTTAGCAAAGTAGAAGGCTGCAATTGTGGACACAGGAGCGGTGTTGGGCAATCTAGGTACTTGGTAGAACGTGAAGTGCAATGATTTTGCCAGTCAAGTGGAAAGAATCTAAGTTTCTACCATCTGGAAACGAGGTACTCCTTTAAACGAAAGTTACTTTGAAACGCCTAAGGACGATGATTGGGTGAAGCGGAGCGGGCCAGCATTCACGTATTGGGTATCTGCTACGCCTTAAGTTCGTCCTATTCGGATTTACCGCTTCTGTCTTTAAAGCACATGACAAATTTGGTACAAAATTGACAGCCTTCCTTATTTTTATTGAAATCTTTTAGAGGTTTCGTCGTCTTTTCTTTTTAACCGTGAAGGCCATCGCGATAGCGCAGGAGGCATTTGAGATGTGACAGCACCTAACACCAACACTCAGACGCGTGCATGAAAGTAAATTTTACAATCAGTCAAATTAAGTAAGCATTTTAATTAAGGTTTTTGCTTAAACGGAAAAAGGGCAAGCTAACAAGTTTATTCGATAATTTTGAATTGTGACGATTTTTGAATATCTTAGGATCTAGGTCATATGATTTTAATGTATATGATTAGAAAAGTAAAACTTATGTCTTACGCAGAAAAAGACTGATTCTTTAAATTTTTTGTTTAAATAAATCTGCCTAGCTTTTGCACAAATTCAACGAGAGATGTAAGACATTAAAGAGAGTGTGCAGCTATTTTAAGAGATTTATTTCGAATAAATTTTGTACAAAAATATTTTTCAAAGTGCAACCAGTGCTTTGCTAGTTTATGATGATTTTGAGGTTTTCGTTATTTTATTCTGATTTGAATCAGCCATTTTGAAATGCGGCCCGATTTTAATTTGACTTTCCTTGTGGTACTGTGGCTTGCCCAGGGCTGCTGTTCATTTCAATTCAGCAAGAGCTGCGACGATGAACCCAAGTTATGGCACATCGAGAATGGAGTATGAGATTGCTGTAAATAAGCTCTATGTCAGGTAGAAAGCATTTTCGAAGTTGAGTGCTTTAAATTCGCATATTAAATGTTCCGAAAAATGTGCATTGGGTCCGCTGGTGCTCAGATTATCACATTGCGAAGAAAAGTTTCAATCAAGCGACAAAGTATTCCAGTAGTGACCCTTTGGAGTAACGTGGTTCAGCTTTTTGTCGTCGGGGTCACCAATTGCTGTGGGCCCCAGAAAGTGGTCATGAACCACGCCGGGGCCACAGAATTAACCCTGGCCCGATTACGCTTGCAGATGCCCGCGATGAAGGAAAAGACCGCAGAGGACGTGGACACAACCGTTTACTTCAGAGCTCAACCACGTTGGTGTAGTTGTGTCGGGTTTGCGCGTGTGGATTTATACCTCGGATACGCGAGTCATAGATGCGCTAACATCGAGACCTGGGCGTGAGGATAATAAAAATATTCGTGTGAATAAAGGGGGGATTGAAGACTCGCGCGGCTGACGACATGCTGCGACAAAGAGGAATCCTGTGTAGGAGGCGGAGCGATCGGATTAAGGGGTATGAATAAACACGAATTTCAACAAGCTCCTCAAGTGGCTGCCTCCCACACCAGGCAGATGCTCAGCGACCTTGAACTAATTAAGAGCGCTGATTGGTGTGTGAGGTGTCTTTGGACTTGAGGTCAGGGCGTTGTGCCTAAGGCATGGGACAGAGTTTTCATGAAAGTTAGGCAAAGTTCAGGATAGTGGACCAGCGGAAATCTTGGTCACCAATTAACTCGTCATCTTCAAACTAATTCTCTTTCACTCATTCTGAACGATATTACACCTCGCCTTCCTGCTTGTACCATGTTACTGGCATTTTAAAAGGTTAACACCCTCACAAAAAGCTAGTCAACAGATAGCACAGTATAACTAAAACTAAGTGTGAAGAAGGACACCTTTTTATTACTAAACGTAATTTTTTTCTGCCCTTGAAGCATTGTTGACAACTTCGGGCATGAATGAAGCAAAATGTCAGCCGTCAGGAAGTGCTGCCTTGCCATTTGAGTTTGACAACTTTATTGTCTAAGTTGTCACAATTCACCTGGCAAAATCACCTCTGTCCAGCTAAGCAACTCCCACAGACGCGACAAAGTTTAATTAATAAATGAACATTAGAATTCAAGCATTTCCATGCATCAAAAGTATGCCAAAGAAAGTTCACTTTGGTGCTTTTTATAATTGAGAAAACGGGTTTCCCTCGAAGACTACGCTGGCATTTTCGCGATTTTATTCAACACACATTAATCATCTGTGCGTTGTCCGTAAGTGGGTAGGGTGTCGGTTGTGCCGCTTCGCGGTGCCCCACCGACCCAGTCGGACTGTCGACTCCCCCTTCGACGCCGGGCGGGTCGGCGGGCGCGCGGTGTGCCCCCTCGCACGCCGGGGAGCTCCGTCAAAGTCAACTCGGATTTTCACGTGGACGGTCAAATGGAAGGAGGATTTTTCTAGTGAAGTGTCGCGGAAACCAAACTCTTCAACGTGGCCCTTGCTTGATTTTTCTGTCTGCAAAAAATGACGAAATGAGGGATGTCAAATCGAAGTCAACTTAATTGACAGCGCGGCCAGAGTGAAATCTTGCATTATTTACAAATTGTAAGTTCACAATTTAAGTGAATTTTGTGCATGTCTAACACTTACACGTTTTTGTGTGAATTTAAGTTTCCTAGCACGAAACAGCAATTAGTCCTCTGCCTACTGAGAAACCCCACTTTTTTAAAACACTTACACACTGATGTGTGGAAAGGCATTACATACAATAGTCCAATAAATCAATCACCAAACTGCAGAAAACTCCCTGAACGTGAAGTGCTGTCAAAGATAGGTGTGATGTGCGAAACTGTTAGGATGCCTATGAAATATGGAGTGAATGAACTAACCACAGGATGGAATAATTACTTAGGTCACTGAACCACACAACAGTCAGCTGACTTCGAACAACGAATAATTCAGCAATGCACTCCAAGAAAAATCAGACAGATGGCCTTTATAAATTGAGATTTCAATTTTAACTCGCAGTTTTTCAGTGCTTGTCTAAAGAGAACACGGTATTTTGACATGTGCGTGGGAATGTTATTGTGGTAAAGTCAGGTTTTGGGACGACATCGTAAATTAGTCGCCGTGTGAATACCCTTTTCATAATTTACTATGCATGCGCATGAGCTGTCGAGGTTGTTATCACTGGTTTTAGCTTGCCTAATCTAAAGATTGTTCATACAACCCTGTTATTTTAATGAGTATAATCATTTGGTTGTCCCATTCGAACAATTCAGACCAAAACGAATGCTTCTTCATAACGAAGAAGAGCAATCAGTATTTTTGTGACAAAAGTCACCATTTTAAATTTATTTCCCTGGTAACAAAGCCTTTTGATGGGGCTCTCTAGTTTGCATTACAGTTTCTTTTGACTCTTCCTGAACTGCTCCAAAGTGCACCACCAGTCATGTGAAGTCGCAGCGATTCTTACCTTTACGATGTGGTGATCTCAGATATAATTTAATATAAAGCAAGCTTCATTGTTGTAAAGTTGCTTTTGTGCGAACTGTTTACGATATCGCAGCGTACGGCCACACTGGCACACAGGATTCCATGGTCGGCGTCGTCATTGTGTCCGCCTTTATTTGCTTTCAATTGCAAGAGAACTGATGGTGATGTATTTTTTAAACACCGACACCATTTTGACAAAATCTTTCTTTTTATTTAATTACCAAAATGCGTATCATTTTACAACAAATTGCAAGTGAAATTGGGTCAATCAAGCCTAGCATTTTATCAAAAAAATTAATTGTAATGCTTTCAACTTGTTTGCCTAGCTGCATTCTGTTTGCATCAAAGTGCTTCAACGGTTTTTGACACCGAAACAGTCCTTTTTTTGACGTACTTTCACCATTAGTTGTCTTTTACAAATAAGGGATTGCCATTCTGCAAAAAAATTTGCTTAATATCCTGAAAACTGCAGGTTAATGAATTTTACACAAATCCTTTATCATCATCCCTTCATGGAGCTCTAACTTATTAGCCCATGTCACAAATCAGAAGAGGAGGTAAATGCTTGCAAACATCCAGGCTATACCAAAACCACGTATACTTGATGTAAATACAATGCTTGTGACGGTAGCAACTTCGTGGACAATTTTTCGTAGTGGAACTGCACTGCACTTTTGTGCCTTACAAAAACGCCCTACAAAATTGTCAAAGTAGACCATGAGTCAGTGAGGAAACACGCGTCGTTATTATGTTTGAACTATAAACCGCGAAACCAACGTCTACCTTGTTTAAACTGAGCACTTAAGCGACAGCACTTATATTTTCATGTGCACCAGCCTTGTCGAGTGTGAACAAGGGCTCTATTTCAGGTCATGGCGACCGATAGGCCTTTAGGAATACCTTCTTACCGAAATACCAAGACGCTTCCAAAGGCAGCTTTTGTTTTACGATTGGGGATCTGTTGATGGAAGAACGTACAAACTAGGGGTACAAATTTTGATCAAAAAGCATTCATTTTTATTGTTTAATCTGCACACATTAATTATTACATCACCTATGACACACAGAGTAAATAAATTGAAGGGGGGATGTGCTTCCACCGCAGTCTTTTTCAAATTGAGTTGGTTTAAACAAATTAATCGATGTTTTAACTAGCG